ATGCTGCTGGTTTACAGCAGGACTCGATGTCTGCGTTTCATCATAGCGCTCAGCCACTGCAGAGGTCTCAAAGGTGATTCTGAGAGAAAAACACACATCAAGTTAGTGGAGTGCTCTTTGTGTGCGTGTGTGTGTGTGTCGCTCTGATGGTTAATGGTAATTTAGAAGGGTTTGTTTTTTTCTGAGTCTAACTGAGCTCAAGATGTCACCAAATCAACACAACACTAAAGAGGAAACACGTGTGATGATAAATAGAAATGAATAAAACTTTTCATTGTAAACAACCCGTCACCAGCGCACAGTAACCAGGATACAACTCAAGTAGGAATAGAAAAAATAAAATGATAATAATTTTATTTATAGGCGCCGTTTTTATAAGCAATCAAAGACCAAAATCATGCAGTTAGAGTCATGCGTAAAATAATAGTTGGTAAACGTAATAAAAAGTCATAAAAAGTCAACAATAACAAAATAGGCAAGCTTTGTGTCTTATCTATATATATATGTGTGTGTATATAGATAGACAGATAGATATGTATCTATCTGTCTATCTCTATCTATCTCTATATCTATCTATCTCTATCTATCTCTATATCTATCTATCTCTATATATCTCTATATCTATCTATCTCTATATATCTCTATATCTATCTATCTCTATATATCTCTATATCTATCTATCTCTATCTATCTCTATCTCTATCTATCTCTATCTATCTCTATCTCTATCTATCTCTATATATCTCTATCTCTATCTATCTCTATATCTATATCTATCTCTATATCTATATCTATCTCTATATCTCTATATCTATATATATCTCTATATCTATATATAGATAGATACCAATATATAGATATATCTATCCCGAGCGCACTAACAGGCCTCATTCATCCATTCACACCCCTTCATTCATACAGGCACGGTTTTCTATGCTTTAGTGTTTTTATCTAACGTTCACACAGCCAATGGATCAGTTTTAGTATCCTGGATATTTGGCCTGCAGACTGGAGCAGCAGGGATCAAACGACCAACCTTTAGCAGATTATTTGATGACCTGTTGTCAGCAGTGAGCATCTGTGTGATCGAGTTATGTAATGTTTGTCTTTCAGGTTTTACGCTTCCATCATTTAAGTTGATCAATCTTTTTTTTTAATATTAATATTTGTGCTAAAAGACTCGCTGGTGCAATCAGCAGCTAAAAAGCCGGACATCTTCTACATTCAAGAAATTTATCTCTTAGACCGAAAAACAACAATTGCTGTTCATGATGGTTTTCTGCTCTTGCATATATGATGTTGGGTTTTATTTCTACACCAGAAGTGACTGGACTTGTATGACCATCTGAACGAAGTACAAACAGACTCATCAGCTGCATCTCGCCCTGTATTAGCACTGAAAAACATACTGATTGGCTCTGATGTGCCCGTTTTGTGATAAGAGAGGCCCACAGAGAGTGGGCTGAGCAGGAGTTACTCCCACACTGAGCTGAAATCAAACATAAAACAGGCAAAAACATGTCAATAAAATCTCTGTCTTAACTTTCTTGGTTTTAGAGGCTCTGGTAAAATCCTCCAGAGCGCTCTCTGCTCAAACTCAGGAGGCTACACGCAGTAACACTCCTCATGGCTGGACGGGCTGC